TCGGGTACGGGGGAGCGTCAAGCCCCAAATCCACAGACAGATCCCCTGCGTTAACAAGGGGGAGGGAAGAGAAAACCTCTACCCTTCCCCCTAACTGCCAATCTAGAGAAAACTAACACAAACTTTGTTAGACACTACATACAGAACTCACCGAAAGAACCTTAGCAGGCGGAGGAGACCCCGTTCGCCGACAGGGCCCGCAGGGCCGTAGCACTTTGCACATGCTGTTGTTCGTTACGGACACACCACTTACGTACCAAATAAAATATAAAAAAGGCGAAAAGGGCGACTATGAAAAATCCTTGTACGGTAACGAGTCTATCTGTAGATAGATGTTTCCGTTTCGCTCAGAGTAGTTACTTTCAACACGATTATCCAAAATACCCATCCTAAAGGATCACAGTCAAGCACTCTAAAATAATTGAACTACGCGTGTATATCGTGAGGCACTGAAGTTCGCACTGATGTCACATCGATAGTAGGAAGTAGTCGGAACTGGAGCAAAAGTAATCCCGGATTCAAAAACTGACAAGAGATTCTTTGAATGATGACGCATTACATCCGTTAGTCGCACACACTTTAAACCGAGAGTATTTCCAAGTCATTTACTACAACACTTATTTCCACAACTCATCCACAAAACTTATTACAAATTGTAAGCCTGGGTACCAACCAAGGCTCTCCAGGAGGAACGGAAGACGCAATCCCGAGCAATAGCTGATTGCATGCAGAACGGAACAGAAACAAACAGTTGATTTTCTCCGGAACCAATGGGTCAAATTTAAAAATCTGGCGCTCGTTATAGACCTGAGAGTACTACAAATGCTGTAATTTTTGCAGATTGACTCAAGTGTTTTTGGTCTTGAAGGGAAAAAAAGAAGAAATAGAGCCTTACTTGGTAAGGAAAACAAGTAAGCTTATTTTGGATACCCTTTATTCAAGCTATCACAACTTTGTCAATTTTGGACCCAAATAGGTTGCAGACCATTCAATCGACGGCAAATTACACCAGCTTAGAAATGAGACCAAGATCATTTTCATAGCTATCTCAGTTTAGAAATTAGAACAGAAACTTGGAGTAATTTTGAGTCAATTTTCGTATCAGCCTCTAATAAGCCCTAAAAAATATAAAAAAGAAGTATTTCTCCAGGAGATCGAACAACCTATTTTCATTTTTAGCTAGAAAGACTCCATTTTCACTCTACTTTCTGAATCCGAAAAGACTTTCATAGTGATAGAAAATTTCATATAACTTTTACTCAAACAAACCGTGTATGGGAAATGGCTCTCCCCACAATCTGATGAAACTTGGATATGTAGTTCAGCTGGTCATTCTAATCAAAAGCGCTCATGGGCCGAAAGAGCGGTTTTCGAGATATTTGCCGTTTTATGTGCGTGAATTGAGGTTTTTGCTGGCCGGACCATTGTGCGGTGCTTTTTGTGCCCTTCCCTTCCAGTCCACTCTAGCCACTCTTCGCTTCCCCGCCACCCACACCCGAGGCTCAGAGGCTTTGCTCATCGTCGCCGAGCCAGGTGGTCTTATCACCGTGAGCGTTGGAGTCCGAGCCTCGGGTCGGGTATGGGTGGCGGGGAAGCGGAGAGCGGCCGGATTGGACTGGAAGGGAAGGGCACAAGGAGCACCGTACAATGGTCCGGCCAGCGAAACCTCAATTTACGCACATAAAACGGCGAATATCTCGGAAACCGCTCGTGGGACAACCTTCGGCCCATGAGCGCTTTTGATCGGAATGACTAGCTGAACAACATATCCAGGTTTTATCAGATTGTAGAAACAGCCATTTCTCATGAGGTCTGTGCGGGGTTCTTTGGGTAAGTGGATTTTAAGTGCCTTTTAGTCTTCTAAATGCAAACTGCATAGGGGAGAGTTTATGCGTTTTTTCTAGGAACCATTCTAGTTTATGTTTCAATATAATTTCAAACAGTTTTCTAGTGACGGAAAGGTTCCCTATTGGATGGTATGATAGATGGTTTTTAGGTTCTTTCTGAGGTTTAATTTTGAGGAAGATGATTATTTTTTTCCATATTGATGGGATGGAGCCAGTGGTTATGATGTTGTTTAAGGTTTTAAGGAGGTATTTAAGGTTGTCTGAGTCCAGATTTTTTAAAATTTCAATAGGGATGAGATCGCATCCTGCTTTTTTGTTTTTTAATGTACGGATTCCAAATTTAATTTCTTTAATAGAGATATGGAGTTCATTTTCAGTTGTGTTCTTCTCTAAGGTTTTTTCTCTTCAGGTTGTGGAATCGGGGGTGAAATCTTAGAGAAAGTTAGGGATCCAAGATCTGTTTTACACTTGAATGGGAGGATGCTTTTTTTAGAAGTTTTATGGGGTCAAAAATTTCTTCATTTGTTGAGGTGGTTAATTTCGGAGTAGAATTTTTGCCAGTTTCTTTTTTTACATCGTTTAACATTCTTTTTTACTTTCTCCCTCCCCTAGCGGTTTTATGATGTATTCTTCTATCTGTTTCAATTGTATGATTATTTAAGGCCGGCGCAGGAACGCCTCCCCTCCCCCCCCCCATGAGAGTTTAAAGCTGCTGACTTCAGTCTCTGTCAAAAGAATCAAAAACTAATGATCAGAGCTGTGATTGTTTTGCATGGACTTCAAAATATTTATTTTTCCCTATGAAAATGGAACATTTTGCTGCAGTCTTAGCCCTGATCGTGGAAAATTGATAGCTAAGCATGTGACATATTTTTTAGGATCGTTAGCAAATGAAATTTTGTCACTCTCCACGATCAGTTTAGAAATTACGTTGGTAGTTTTTTTATCACCAAGATTGGCAGCTTCACATAGTATTTTCCACTTTTTTCTAGTATTGTTGTGGGCTCCTTTCATTTGGTCATTAAAGTAGTTGTTTTCAGCTTTTTTTCAGTCTCATTGAGTAGGTCCCTGTACTTTCTATATTTCCGGAATAATTCTCCACTGAGAGGTTTACGATCGGTCCTTAATTTGAGTTTGTCTCCGTGCTCGATAGAAACTACAATGGCTGCAGTAATCCAAAGCTTGATTGGAATTTTTCTTTTATTAACGTTGATTTCATAAGTAGCTTGAGCAATGTAGATATTTAGAAGACTGTCAAATTTTTCTAGACCATCATTTACTTCTTTACAATTGAGAATAGAGGTCCAGTTTTCATCACACAGGAGAGACACAAATTTTCAAAATTTTTTTTTTTTTTTTTTTTTTTTTTACGTCGATCGTATTGTCACCTTTGTCAATTTTAAATGATCCCGCATACTCCTTGTGGAAAAGTGCTGCACAATCGATTTTTAATTTTTTTTATGTATTAAATTCTCCTCAACATGCTAATTGAAAGTCATCATTGCGCCAATTTTCTACAATGCACCGTTTACGCACAATACGCTCGAAACGCATCAATTATTCGGCGATAAAGAGTCAAAAAGAACAAGGCATTCGAGAACAGGTTTGATGTGAGTAACGGAAAACGTACTGAAAGTCTGTCTTATTTTTTACTCCTGCCTACTCTGGGGCTATCTCCCTCCCTCTTTCGTCCATTTGATCTTCACTGTTTTTCTCTGACTGTCCTGTTCTTATGCTCCTTACGAATCTGATTTGGATGGCCAAGCAAAAAGGCGTGCAGAATCTGAGATAAGACTGCCGCTCAGTGCTGGAGTTTCCCTAATTTCCATGTTGACACACAGCTGACCGTTCACTCGAGTGCTGAAATGAGGAATCTTTCTCTTTATTGCCGATTCCAGCTGAAGCATTCCAGGTGTATTGTGCAAGAACGGTGCATCTTAGAAATTTGGCGCAATGATGACTTTTGATTAGCATCTTGAGGAGAATTGAATGCGTTAAAAAAATTAAAAATTGATTGTGGTGCACTTTCCCATAGGGAGTGTGCGGGGTCCTCGGGTAACATAATTTTTTAGTTTGATGCTAGCTATAGTCCAGTTATGGTCTGTGAGAGAGTTGCGAACAACAAAACTTTCAATATTCTGTGGCTCAGAAGTTCGGCTGAAAATATGGTATGTACAAGATTTCTGATTTCCCTTGATTCTAGTAAATAGTTCATTGTAACATAGAAAGGAATATATTACTTTTGAAGAAATTAAATAGGGAAACTTACGTTTGGAACGACCCTTGTATTTTGACCAAATTTTTTGCCTTTTTACAGAGCCTCATGAAAAAAAAAATTGAAATTTAAGGTAAATGATTTTGAGGGAAATATCGAGGGGGGATATTTTGAGGGGGGCTCGAAATTGGGGGAAAGTCAAATCTTGTCCTCTCGAAAACTCGCGCCAAAATGAATATTTTGAGCTGAAATTTTTATGGGTGGTAGTTTGCTCCTAGGACTGGTTTGGTATTGAATTTGAGCACCAAGAGGAGAGCCGACTGGAGCGGGGCCAGGGGAAAATTGGGTCAAAGGGAGGAAGTATTTGGACAAGTTTTACATCTAACAGTGGGTTAGGGAAGGAAGATTTTGGACAAACTACGTCGCACAGCGGGTCAGGGAAAAGAAGTTTTTGGATGAACTGTTTGTCGCACATTAGGTCAGGGAAAGAAAATGTCTAGAAAAACTTTTCATCTTACAATAGCTTAGTACGGATGTGCGAATCAATGACTGCAAGACTCCCACTTCGAAAAAACACTTGCTTCAAATGCTGAATGCGCGATCCTTTTATAAAAAAAAAATAACTTGATGCGCATGAAACCCCGAAAAAAAAAAACGCTGTCCGGTGGAGGCGAAGCTTCTCCCTCTCCAAATCGGCGCGGAGTGAAATGGAGCGTCGGTTTTTTTTTCGTATTTTACAGAAAACTGGCCAAAAGACGATTATTGATATATTTACCTATGTTATGAGCCAACATTTTTCTTATCCTCTTTTTTTGTACCGCCTCTTTTCATTAATAGCTCGTTTGCATATTATCCATGCTACATCTTATTGAATGTATACCTAACTAATGCCCACCAGCACTTATCTATCTATAGTTAATTTTTAATTTTTTTTTCAGTTGAAAGAGCTTACCGGAGCAAAGATCCTGTTCCCAGACAGGAATGACGAAGATCAGGACTTAATTACAATCATGGGAACGGAGGAACAAGTGGCGAAAGCAAAGAAGGAGTTGGAAGTAACAATTAAAAATATTGTAAGTTGTTTTACTTCCTTGTTATTCATTGTCCATGCGTGACAGCCGAATTTCAAAAGGATTGACTTTCGTCGTACTGAACAGTAGCTTTGCCATTAAAAATTATTTTTTTGCCAAATGATGTGAGGCGGTTAGACACTTTGAAAGCTCAGTAATGTACTTTTATATATACGGGGGAAAAGGGGGACATTCAGGTGCATCAAAAAAAAATGAAAGTCTGAAATGTTCCGCACCTCAGGCAGCAATAGATGACATTTGGTAAAAAAATATGTTTTCCAAAATTTGGGCCAATTGCAACCATTTTAAATGGTGCCAAAGGTCAATTTTGTAATGAAATTCTGCTGTTGACCCAGATTTCGAACGAAAAACTCGATTTTACCCTGAAATCGTGCATTTATAAGAAAAATGCCCAAGAACTCAAGTTGCAGAGGTTAAAATTTTGCTCGAAGAAGACGTCTTTGTAAATGATAAAAATCAAATTGAACTAGAAAAACTCATCTCTGTATTTATTTTTTGGGTCCTCAGAATTTCTGAGGTCTCACAAAGCAGTATAAAAGACTCATTTTTCATGAAAATAAGTCGAAAAAGAGTATAAGTGAACTGTAGGCAAGTGCAGAGGATGAATAAGTCATCAGAATTCCCTCAGTTGCAAAAAAAGGTCCAACTTTCTTGCACAATCCTCCAAAAAGGTACGGCTCGAAAAGCAGGATCTTGCTGTAAAAGTAAGGGATAAGTGCGATTGGACCTGGAAAAAATTGGGTAACTAAGTTTCCCTATGTAATCGTCATCAGTAGGTCCTCCTGAACAACCTTCTAAAGGTTAAACATGGTCTGACCCTGGAACACCCCTCAAAGCAGGGATTTAGAGCTGAGGTTTGAGGGAGTATCATAGACGGAGCCGCATCGGCGCGCAAGGCGGAGGCCCGGCGCGGAATTTCATGCCGCGTCGAACAGTGCGCCGGGGGAGCGCATTTGCCGTTGAGGCGGCTTAACCAGGTGAAGCCGACACTCGGCTGATTTTCTGATGCTGCATCAGTTTTGATGCTGAGTCCAGCATCAAAATTAAGGCGGCTTCAATTAGCAGACACGTCGAACGCCACCGCCCCGGGCCCGGCTGCCGGTCGGCTAATTGCACCGGGCTGTGTTTTCAACCCTTCCTCGGCGTCCACTTCTTAGAACTTCTCGGCGAGGCGTGGGCCGCCGCCAAGACAAAGGGGTGTTCCGCGAATTCATCGCCAAGTCCGAGGGTCGCGGTCTTCTGGGATAGCCCCGTCGGTAATTCAGCTGGGTGGCGGGTCCGAAAATTGAGGCCGTATCGGGCCGCAAGCCGAGGGTCCGGCCTCAGAAGTTGGAGCCCATGTTGGTCTCTGAGCCAGCATCAAACCTCAGCATCAGCGCTTAATGCTGGCTCGGTCGGCACTCCAGCATCGGGCTTCAATGCCCGAAGCCGGCGCCGGCAAGTTGCGCGCATAAGGCGCGGCGCCGCATGCCCGCACGGCCGCTACCTGGGCATACGGCATTAATGCTGAAGCTACGAGTCGATGCTGTACAGCATAACCTCATGAGGCGCCTCAAATGCCTGCCTCAAAGTACCTAAAATTCAAAATGGCGGCCGTAATGAAGAGGTCCGGGAAAGCCGTATTTTAGAATATTCATTTAGTGTCATGTGAGGTATCATTTCCTATGTAATTTTGGTCATAGATTTCAAAAATGAACTCAAGAAGGTCCCCCTGTGAAAGAGGGCGCTCAAAATCAAAGATGGCGGCAAAATGTGGAACGCAGAAGGTTGCATTCTTTCAAATTTTCACTTGAGGAACAAGACAAATATGGGGTCTCCATTCCTTTCTATTAGTCGTAAACTTCACATGTGAAGGCATGAAAGCACCTCCACTCCCCTCCCCCCCTTCTGTCAAGAAGAATGTCCCAAATCCAAGTTTGAGTTTATGAAATGTTCAGTAATAGAAAATTGATGATGGAAAACCGGATAAATCTAGAGTACCTTCATACCCAGAGTTAAGACAACTTGATTATCAGCTGACTGGCAGCCAGCCTTGGCTGGCCATGGAGGCACAAACGAGTGCCCCCGAATGAACGATATTGAGGGATAAGGATAAGGAATCCTGCGATGTCTGTCATCGAAAAACAACATCAACAAAACTGATCAATTAAAAAGAAAATGAGATTGGTTTGTGAATAATTTCTTAATCTATTTTTATTTTGAGCCAATGGAAATAACAATTCACTCCTGATAAACCACAATTAGGTAATATTTTCTATATTCTTGCTCACATTCGAGGTAATGTCATCTTGGTGCACTCGTTTCGGCCTCCATGAGCGAGAACCAATCAGAATTGGATTTTTTTTAGGCCACTTTCAGCCCAACCAAAAGTGAGTTGTCGTAACTCTGGGTATAAAGGGACTCTAGATAAATCATGTGCAGGGATTGCTAAAGAACGGCGAACACACGAGAATTGGAAAAGAGTATCTGTTGACACATTAACTCATAAAAGTGCGAACGCATGTTTCTGAGCTTACACTTCTCTCTGTAGTCCCTTGTTTCTTTTAATTTCCTTTTATTTCCTTTTTATCCAACACATTTTTATCATCAAAGGGTATCCCTGGGTAAGGGCACCAAAATGCCCCTCCTCACGGATTTTGAATTCAATGGTCTAAACCCTTTCAGGAGGTCCTAAAAACATGGTTTTGGGCAATTTTACCCTCCTGACCCCAACCACCCCCCCCCTCCAGCCCCGAAAAACCCATTTTTCGGGGCATTGTGGGGGTATTTTCACGTTTTATTTCGTATCTTTCGCAATTTTCGATAAAAATGCACCAAAATTTCACCAATTACACATCAGACCAGTCAGATTCTTGGGTAAAAAAATCAAATTTATCGTATTTTATTTAGGCCCCTAAAAAAATTCGTAAAAATCGTCAATTTTCAATTTTTTTCAGATTTTAGCGGTTTTAAAAAAATGAGGACACATAATTTTTTGTTTTTGCCTTAAAATGTAGGTAATATACCCAGTTGTTACCAAACAAAATTTCAAGCCTTCACGCGTGGTGCGTCCCACCGAAAAAATGGGTTTTTTGGCGCCAAAACTGTTTAAATGGCTCTTTTGGCAACGGTTTACTCGCACGCTATCAAGATCGTAACACTAAAATCTCTAATTTTTGGTTTCAATGTTTCAAGAGGCATGCCTTAATATCGACAGAAAAGGTTTCAAGTCGATCGAGTCTTTGCGCCCCACGTAAAGTACCGGTTTTTGGCGCCGAAATGGTCAACATTGCTATTTCAGAAGAGGTTACTCGCGTAGGGTGGCCCTTATTTTTGAATTTACGGAGTTTAAAGTGCGGAACCCTGCAAATGGTTTCATTTAACGAGAAAATAATGGGGAAAAAATAAAAATTGAGAAAAAAATGTTTTAAAACGCGCCTCAAAGAGCCTAAAGTTCCGAGCGTGGCGTGCGAACACGCGTTTTTTCATCATTTCGCGAATTTTTTTCCTCCCTTTAAAATGTTTCTACGGCTTTGAAATTTTTGGAGGTTATACACTGTTTAGAACACTTTACGAGAAAAATAATGAAATTTACATCGCTCAGTTTAAAATTCTCTTTTATCCCCATCACAGAGGCCACGTCGTGCGATTTTGCCGATCTTCCCTTTATATCGTTCATTTGCATGTTAGCCCCGAAATACCATTAAATCGACTTGTTTTCAAGCAACAGAATTGTTTATTCTTGGTTTAAATGACTCAGTAGATACTCTACTTCTAGAATCTGAAGAATTTTTGCATTTGACTCTTCAAAAAATTTAATCTCGCTCAGGCAAACCGTGCCGAGAGAATGTTATGAACAATCATCGACGAAATCGCATGATGTGGCCACTTTGAAGGAGAAAAGGAAGCATTTTAAAAGTAGCGAGGTAAATTTTGTTATATTTTTCGTTATTTACCATAAAGTATGTGACACTTCAGAAAATTTCAATACCGTAGCAACAATTTAAAGGTGGAAAAAAGACACGCCGTGCGGGGAGATTTTAAGGGAAGATCGGCAAAATCGCACGACGTGGCCTCTGTGATGGGGATAAAAGAGAATTTTAAACTGAGCGATGTAAATTTCATTATTTTTCTCGTAAAGTGTTCTAAACAGTGTATAACCTCCAAAAATTTCAAAGCCGTAGAAACATTTTAAAGGGAGGAAAAAAATTCGCGAAATGATGAAAAAACGCGTGTTCGCACGCCACGCTCGGAACTTTAGGCTCTTTGAGGCGCGTTTTAAAACATTTTTTTCTCAATTTTTATTTTTTCCCCATTATTTTCTCGTTAAATGAAACCATTTGCAGGGTTCCGCACTTTAAACTCCGTAAATTCAAAAATAAGGGCCACCCTACGCGAGTAACCTCTTCTGAAATAGCAATGTTGACCATTTCGGCGCCAAAAACCGGTACTTTACGTGGGGCGCAAGGACTCGATCGACTTGAAACCTTTTCTGTCGATATTAAGGCATGCCTCTTGAAACATTGAAACCAAAAATTAGAGATTTTAGTGTTACGATCTTGATAGCGTGCGAGTAAACCGTTGCCAAAAGAGCCATTTAAACAGTTTTGGCGCCAAAAAACCCATTTTTTCGGTGGGACGCACCACGCGTGAAGGCTTGAAATTTTGTTTGGTAACAACTGGGTATATTACCTACATTTTAAGGCAAAAACAAAAAATTATGTGTCCTCATTTTTTTAAAACCGCTAAAATCTGAAAAAAATTGAAAATTGACGATTTTTACGAATTTTTTTAGGGGCCTAAATAAAATACGATAAATTTGATTTTTTTACCCAAGAATCTGACTGGTCTGATGTGTAATTGGTGAAATTTTGAGTATTTTTATCGAAAATTGCGAAAGATACGAAATAAAACGTGAAAATACCCCCACAATGCCCCGAAAAATGGGTTTTTCGGGGCTGGAGGGGGGGGGGGGGTGGGGTCAGGAGGGTAAAATTGCCCAA